AAGCAGCGTAAACGCAAGTAAAACCAACGCCAAATGTTCAATTAAAAAAAAAAAAAAAAATTTAAAAAGCAACATGCAACTGCGAATATTTCCTGCGTATTAATTCATTCCACAAAAAAAAAAATTTGAAAAAAAGGGAACATAAATTTTTTTTCATTTCTTCTGAATCACGTAAGAATAGCAAGCATAAGTTAAAAAACGCTCGTACGTTCATACTTCTGTTCTCAAACAATAACGCAAACGTACAAATAAGGAAAATACCCTAGCAGAAGGGATTTTAAAAGAAGCACAAACGCAAGCCGATTTTATTTTTCGCCTGCATAAGGAGGATAAATTTACCATCCTAGCCACATAGCAAGCAAAAAAATGGAAGGTATGTATAATTTACAATTGCGTTTTGTTGATAGCGTCCCCTTTTTTTTATGCTTCTTCATCCCCCGCTTCGTTTGTAGTGTTTGCTAGTAGAACGGGCTCGTTGTTTTAATACCCGTGTATATTACTACGTGAATACCTGTTTGTGGATACATGCTTGCTTCTTCCTACATGGGCATTGTGCTCGTGTACACCTTGGCGCCGCAGAGGCGCATGTAATGTTCTTGCATGGGAAGATGGCTGAATAATACTTGCACGTGTTGTCGATTGACCCTCCTTCTCAGCTGCACTTCATTTGAGCAGTACGCCAAGCGCGCTACATGAAACGTGCGCATGAACATTGGATATAATTTTTTTTTTTTTTTCCCATATAATAGGAGATAGAGGAGGCTTTTCAAGAGGATTTGGAAGGGGCATGAGGGGCGGCAGAGGTGGCCGTGGCAGAGGACGAGGAAGAGGAAGGTAAGCGCGAAAGGAGGAAAAGCGGCAATAAGGGGGGTAGGCCAGTAGGCCTATATGGTGATGCGGTTATGCCTTGATAGATGATGCATAGAATAAAACGCCGCGCGTGCCACACGTGTGCTGCGAACCGTGGTGCACTCTTCACACTCACTGTTCCATTACCCCTTTTTGTAGAGGAAGAGGCTCCGCCGAAGATGACTTGAAGAACTGGGTACCCGTAACAAAACTGGGACGTCTGGTTAAGGAAGGAAAAATAGTTTCCATTGAAGAAATTTATTTGCATTCCCTTCCCATTAAGGAGTATCAAATTATTGATTACTTTTTTCAACCTGGGGAATGTGCTCACCCCTTAAAGGATGATGTGGTAAAAATTATGCCTGTTCAGAAACAAACACGTGCCGGACAACGAACCAGATTTAAGGCCTTTGTTGCCATCGGGGATGGAAATGGACATTGTGGTTTAGGAGTAAAGTGCGCAAAGGAAGTGGCAACTGCCATTAGAGGTGCAATAATTGCTGCTAAACTGTCCTTAATTCCTGTAAGAAGAGGATACTGGGGAAACAAAATCGGAGACCCCCACACTGTGCCAATGAAGGTGTCAGGCAAATGTGGTAGTGTTCGTATTCGTTTGGTGCCAGCTCCAAGGGGTACGCAGATCGTGGGTGCGCCAACGACGAAGAAAATGCTTAACTTTGCCGGCATTAAGGATTGCTTCTCCTCGTCTTGTGGAAAGACCAAAACAAGGGGAAACTTTTTAAGGGTAAGAAGAGGGGCAAGGAATTCCCAATTAGGCAAAAAAACAACGACGACGCGGTACATATTTTTGTGTATCGTATATGTGCCCATATAGAGTACACGTCCATGCAATTGCTTAAAATGGCACCTCTTCCTCATATATTATCTCCCTTTTTTTTCCCCCCCATTTTTTTAGGCCATTTTCAACGCCTTGAGCAAAACATACGGCTACTTAACTCCAGACCTATGGAAGGTAACCAAATTTGACAAGTCACCATATGAGGAATGGTCAGATTTCCTGGAGACCTATCAGAACATGAAGATTCAGAAGCAGACGCCTTAAGACGGTTTGAAGATTACACACATGGAGGTAGAAAAAGAAATTGCCTAATCGCTGATTAATGAAAAGATACATTTTTAGGTGCAAAGAATGAATAGGCACGCAACCTTTGCTATGTTACGGTGCGACTTCTTCTACGTCTCTTTTTTTTTTTTTTTTTCTTCATATCACTTGTTTTTACCCAAATGAATGTTGCTTATTTTAAATTTTCACATTAAAAAGAAAAAAAAATTGTACATGCGAATTTTTTTTTTTTTCTCTTTTTTTTTTTTTTTTATATAAACCAAAATGAAATAAAGCAAACATATAGCAGTTCAAATTTTATGGTGATATATTTAAAAGACTTTTATTTTATGGAGGCACTTTTTACGTGGGAATGTTGCAGGGATACCGGTATTTGGCGAAAAGACCAAAATATGTACGTAGGCTTTTTTTTTTTTGTTTTTCCCCTCAACCACGCGCCTCCTCAACATGTGGTTAACTTCCGTGGAACGTCATTCAGTAGCTTGCTTTCGAACCAGCTTTTCCCCGAGTTTTCGATATCCTCTTGGTAGTTATGTCTGCAAGGGAAGCGTTAAAATGGGGCGGCGTGTGGTCAAATGCGGGCACATGAGAAAAGCTGCAGACCATTGCGCACAGGTCATGCTATACACACGTGCAACATATCGCCTGAACGTATTGCCATCCTGTGCTCGACTCTTAATGGATATATTTCGAGTGGAGTTGGCAACACGCACAAATGACACTCTTACCTAATATGAGCAGTCACCTTCTTGTCCTTTTCCTGCATTTTCTTATTCATCTGTTCTATCCTTCTCCTTAACAGCTCCTTAAACGAGTCGTCTTATATAGGAAAAAAAAAAAAAAAAATGTGCTATGCGTTCATATTCCTCATTTTGTATATATGCGTACTCCCCATGGATAAAAGTCTTTTAACACATATTGTGGCACAACCATTACAATAAAAGAAGCAAAGGCGTGTTGTTGTTTATCACATTTGGACATGTTTTTTTTCCTTTTTCGTGTTTTACCTGTTTGGTTTTCCTCGTCATGAGTCATTTGTTCATTTTCTATGAAGCTTAACTCGAATGGCTTTATTTGTTCCTTCGTTTTGAAGGGGTTAAAGCTCAGTTGGTCTTCCTTCTCTTGCATAACGACGTTTTGTTCTCTGCTTCTTTTCTTGGTTGTGCCATTTTTGGCATCCTTCTCCTTTGTTATTGTTTTCTTTCTGGTCGTTTTCAACGCCATTGCAAATTTGATTAAGCTTGTTACGAGGCAGCTAAACAACGTGAAATCATTTTTCCTTTTGGTCCTTTCGCGGACACGCTGTTCTTTTTTGCATACGTGTACGTGATGAGAGTTGTTAAAAGTACATAAATGTGGTACTACAGCACTATGATGGAATAATTTATAACGTGCTTACTTTACCTGGCATTAATGAACTTGCTCTTTTCGTGCCTCTTTTTTAATTACCGCCAGAATACCCGCAACAACGTGTTTTTTCAGGCAATTTTCTATTTTCAATTTATAGGATGGCAAAAAAAAAAAAAAAATAAAATAAATGAGAACATGCCTTGGTAACAATTTATACCGCACAAAAAAAAAAAAAAAAAAAAAAAAAAAAAAAAAAAAAAAAAAAAA